ATTGATTAGGTGCAAATCTTGGGGCTATGAGAATATCCTAAAATGGTCAGATTGAAATCAAAAATATTGATTTGAGAGCCAACCTGGAAATAAAACTTGCAACCAATTTAGGTGAAGCCCTCTGCAATTTCATGTGATTTATGAGTATTTGCATTTTGACTGTAAGCAAGAGCTGTTTAATCCAGTTGGCACCTATGGAGAAGAGTAAAATGAATTATTAATCAGATAAAATATCAATTAAGGAAGAATAAAACAATAATGGAAAAAAATAGTAAAATTGAGAATAGAGAACAGGAAGGTAAAACCAAAATTTAGAAGCCAGTATCATTGGAAATTGAATAAGAACTAGACTTAGAACAAGAGAATGATACTGATATTATTTATCATTGGATCTGAAAATGATGGAAACCATAGTTCCAGGGTCAGATATATACCTGGGAATGCATCTTGCCAGCAATAGCTATTATGCCTGTAAACACCAACCTAAAGGATAACTTAAGGTTTTAGAACACAACATCCTGAAGGTAGGTAGTAAGTACACACATACATACATACAAACACACATGCATACACACACAGATAGATAGTAGTAAATTTATTTTTATTAAACTGAAAAAAAGCTTTTGTTGAGTATTTGTAACTTTTTCTTTATATATGTACCCCAGAATTCAAATATAATATAAATTTTCTTATATTTAAATCTGCCTGGCAGTATGATGGATTTTAATAATTTATCATGGAAAAGTTAAGTTACATCATTTTCAAGATGTATCACCCTCTCGTGAAGAATAGCCTTCTCATCCAGTAGATTTACAGGTTTGACATTTGGGAAGACCCCCTTCTGTGCACTGGGCATCATACTACCATTAACACGTATTTCTCCACACAAGATGTCCTTATATATCTACAATAAAAACATTCCAAAAATATGAACTTTCCATCATACTTTATCTTCTTTTGACATTTTCTACTTTAGCTAAGCTTGCTCTATGCAAAGTCAGGTCAATTCCAACCAGTAATATTTAATGCTAAAGTTTAGAAGTCGGTAGCAATTATAATCCTAGGCTTTTTGAACTTGTGAAATAGTATCTTACATAACCCCACACATATGGAGAATGGAAAGATACATTCATAAAATGAAGTTGACAGAGTATTTTTTACAAAGAAATTTTCAAAACAAGAAAAAGAGCAAAGAAATCTTTTTGAAAAAAGGAAACAGAAGGCATTCTCTAGACTTCTTTGGATTCCCTGTTTTATAAATTAAGAATGAATTGGAAAGAAAATCCAGTCAAAGCCCCAAGTTACAAGCAATACATTTGGAGTGAATATGACAATATTTTTCTTTGAGAATGGTGCTTACTCAGAGCCCTTTGAAGGAATGACTATACTTAAAGCTATAAATGGCTGATCATTGAATCTTGGGTGATGTTCACATAAGTCAGCCTAAGAAAAGTCTTAAGTGATACACAGTTACTAAATCATAAATTTAAAGAATTAACTGAACATGCTTAAAGATAATCCAATAAAAATTTTTATTCATAAATGAGAGCTGTGAAGCTCAGTGAATAAAATGCTCATAAACTGATATTTTCTACAGAATGAGCATTTGAGGTCATGTCTCTTAACTCAGTACAGTGTCATTAATTCTACTACAGAAGAGGGAGTAGTTACAAAAGCAAGAGGACTAGTATCTGGAAGCAGCATTGAATCACTACAATTAAGTACTGCAATGGGGAGAGAGGTCTGCATTACACATTAGTGCAGGTAATGCATTATTTGGAAAGAACTTTGTGTTTAGAGTATTATGAGAGTAATGCTTTTTATAAGAGAACATTTTCATTTTCAAACAGCAAAAGCCAACTTTGGCCAAGGAAAGCAGCAAATCAATTTATTGGAAGAATACTATGTAGCCGTCACAATTGGTGAGAGGCCTTAAAAATCAGGTTTGGCAAGAAGTAGGAACAAACAGAAGTTAGGCAGTAAGAAACAATGTCAAGTACTCGCCACTGAAACTGCATGTCCAAAGTGACCCTTAATTCATGCAGCTGCCACTGAACTCTATCCATCATGGCTGCTGAGCTCACCAGGGCTACATCTGGGTGTTAAGACCTTTACCGCTGCTGTGAAAAATGTCTCATCTTTGCCTACATCCATCCATCATCTGTTCCAGGGTATGGGAGCCTGTAATTAATATGCATATGTCATTGGTGCAAGTTCTAACTAAATGGTTAGAAGAAGGAAGTATCTGGTCCCTAGGTGTTATGCTTATGTCTCTGTTTATAAGAATTCATATATTGGAGTGTTCCAGGAAAGCAGGAAGGGTGTTTGAAGGCTGCATGCTGCTTAGTTTAAAAAAAAAAAGGAAAATGGCTGTATCATATTTTTATTATGTTATTCTCAACCAGTGGTTTATTTTATTATTATTTGCATTTTAATTCTAACCTATACAGGGATGGATTTCTTGAAATAGAGCAGACGATTTTCACATTTGGATTTCTGTCCTTTCATTATGTAGTATATCAAATTGCTTTCAAAAGTACAGTAGTGATGTTTACCTTTGCTCTTTTGTTCCACAGAGCCTTACTTACCACTTCTCATAATTGTCATAATAGAGATTCATAAACATATAATGCATAGGTAGGTTAAAATGCATTTATGGATTTTGGGGATGCCATTCAAGATCATTTTTGTAAAGAAAACATTCATTCTACATATCTGTAATGCATTACAAAAGCCACTTTCTTTACCTTCTACTCATGAATTATGCTTTGTTAAATAACAGCATAAAGGGCAAAGATGTTAATTTCATTTAAAAATCACACCAAATGGTGTGAAAGTATTAAGAAAACAACACCTTTTCTATATTAATCAACTTGATTTCTAGGAAGAAAGGCTAGTTAAAGTCTCTTTTTTGAGATCCGTGACTTGAAAATTAAGAAACTTTTGATAAATTGAAAATAAAACTTTAAAAAGATCCAGATAATTTATTAGGTGAACTGGAGCAAATATTAAAATCAATTATTCATCACAAATGAGAAAATTGAGACTCAAAATTAGATGTTTCACATAAGTGCATATTGTAAGTAAATTGTCAAAAAAAAGAGAAAGCCTCTGTTTTCTGACTTTCTTTCCATTGCTCTTACAATGTTGGAGCTAAAATGGTATTGCTCTTTTTTTATATGTTAGAAAAGTTTTTGAGTCATTTTAATTTAAATCAATCAAAAATATATCTTTGTCCTTAAAAAATATTATACATTTTAATTTATATTTGCCAGCTGACTAAAATAAAATCCCAGTTCAAATCCAGTATAATTCTTACACAATTGGTGAGGTAAGTATTATTATTAGCCCTAATTTATGGGGAGAGATACTGATAGAGAAAACCACCTTGCTCTGCATCTTGTGATATTTTTTTTTTTATCCCCTACTTAGTTTTCTCAATTGAATAGAAGAATTATACTATGACTGATTATATTCAGTTTTTAAAATCATTTACATTTTCATGTCAACCACCTTGCAGTTCATTTAGGTCTACATTTCCATTTGTGCTGATTTGCAAGGGTGAATTTTATGGAGTGAGAAAGTGATCCATCTAATGTTCTTTTACTAGATGGAATAGCTATAATCTTGAGTCATTATATTTTTTTATAAACACATGTTGAAACATGCATATACAAAAATACAGCAAAACATGCTACACAGTTTTATGTGTTTTCAATAAGCTAATAATCTTAGTCAAGCTTTTCTCTCCCAAACCCTGTCTTTTGTCTTCCAGAAATGTTTCTCAAGTTTTACTTTATTGTCCAGTTGTACTAAAACCTAAGTCCAAGTCCTCAGCATTCCTTATTTGAAAATCAAAACATTTTCCTGTCTGTTCTTTTTGCCACCATCCTTTTCTTCCTTATACCTCTCTTGGCATAGCTGCTAGAATTTTGTGTAGTGTCATTCCCAAGCTTGAATCACTGTCTTGCCTGGAGGTAAAGACCACATCCTAGAGCATCATCTGCAGGCCTATTAAAACCCATGCAAGCTATGATTCAGTTGTTAATAGTACTCATGTTCAATTGTGCCAATCTTATCCCCAAGCGTGGAGTAACTTTCAGTGACATACGTTTTTTTCAGCCATCTTCTTTCTTCTATTTTACTTACTAAACAATTTCAGTACATACTTGATTGCTGTGATGGTTTGTGAAAACTTTTCAACCCTAGGGAGTATTTTGTTGAAATTGTGAGTCATATGTAGTAGAAAATCGATGTACAGAATGTGCAGTAAGTTGTATCATATCTAACAAAAGCAAAATAAACACAAAAACAAATTAAAAAGTTGCACTTAGAGTGGAGTCCCTAATATATCAGGTAGTGTAAGAGATCATACTAACTCAGGTCTGGGCACATACTCATGGTCAATTTTTGAGCATTTTAACACTCCCTAGGGCTTCATTTTTGTTGTTTCTATGGATATATTCTTTGAAATGATATATATATATATATTGATATATATATTCAATTATATATATACATATATAATTGAGAATTAAAAATACAAATATGTATGTCCCTGTAAAGATGCAGTATGCAGGCTTATGCCTGGCTATGTGTATGTATGCTTGTGTTTATTTCCAAAAGAACTTGCATGTGTTCTTTTCCTATCATCATCACCCCGCAAAACAGTATAATTTGCATTCAGAGCAAATGCTTAAAACTGCCATGTTTTGTAATGTATATAATTTTCTCTCTTTTGATTAGGTAGAAAATGGTTGCCCCTGTTCACCAATTGTGAAGACTTAGGATCACACAACTACAGCTTCGATTCTCCAAGTGTTTCAGGATGTAAATGTAGTCTGACCTTTCCCTGCTGGACAGTTAAATCATGGACACACTAAACAATTTAATTTGGACTGTCCTTCCAAAAGATGCTTTGGCTTCTCTCTCGAATGCTCACTAAGCATTTGTAGCTGACAAGGAAAAGGAAGAAAACTGAACTGGAAAGTTATCTTACAATGAAAATTACGAGCACATCTTGCATCTGTCCAGTCCTCGTGTGTCTCTGTTTTGTGCAGAGGTGTTATGGAACTGCTCAACACAGCTCCATCAAGGGGACCAGAAACCAAACCAAACACATCGAAGGTGAAACCGAAGTCCACCACCGTCCCAAAAGAGGATGGGTTTGGAATCAGTTCTTTGTTTTAGAAGAACACATGGGGCCAGATCCACAATATGTTGGAAAAGTAAGTTTTTCTTTATTGGTTTGTTTTATCCTCTCCTGGGAAATTGGGAGGTGGGATGAGGGTGGAGTTGCAGTTGGATTTGAAGAGACATGGAACTTTAAGTGAATTATGTTATAGAATGCTATTTCTTATTCTAAACATTTTAAAATAATAATTATAAAAAATGAAATTCACCAATCATCTCCCTAAACATCGGTCCACACAGACTAGATTGAATGTTCTTTACCAGCATATTACTCTTTCTGTTCTCTCATGTAAAATGGAGACACTTAATTAAACACACAATTCAGTAATTTTGTCTTTATTACCATGAAGATATATTAAAATTCACCGTGTCATTTATTGGTATGTTGATACTTACAATTTTTTTAATCTATTGCTATTGCACATGAGGCTAAAAAGAAGACACTATATACGACATCTAATATATTTCTGCTAATTGTTACAGAGACGGTATTTGAATTTAAGTCAGTCTTTAAAAACACGTGGATATTTTTCCAATCCCCCAAATTAATTTCCATACAAATATTGGTATATTTAAATATAGATTAAATATAAACTGGGTGTACAAGTTTTGTTAAAATTGCAAAAGAATGAAGTTGACAAAATGATCAGTAACTTCAGACCAACTTCCCTTTCTCTCAGAAATGCAGACAAGACAATTTAATGGCTTGTCAAACCCTTTAGGAAATTGTGCGCTCAGTAATAAGGGACAGTTTAAGCATGTGTCAAGGCTCCAGGGTAAAGAATAGAGTGAGAAGTAGAGAGACATTCTAATAGATTACTGACTGTTGGAAGCAGCCACGCTTAGGTTTGTTCAGTACCTATGGGAGAAGCAGCAGTCACAGCAGTAGAATATTTATGACTGCAGGCTCAGTGACTTCTGCCTCCCTGCTTGACTATTTATTTTCACTTTAGCACTGTTAGTACTAAAAAAAAAAAAAAAAAAAATAGAACTCCATCCAAGCCACAGCACTTCCCTAATGTGTAGGCAGTACAGGAGCACAAGCCATCTGTTCTGCCCCTCTTCCAACAGGGACTGGGTTTTTAGAACAAAAAAAAAAAAAAAAAAAAAATAGTACTCCACCAAAGCCACAGCACTTCCCTAATGTGTAGGCAGTACAGGAGCACAAGCCATCTGTTCTGCCCCTCTTCCAACAGGGACTGGGTTGCAGCTATATCTTCCATACAAGGCAGGAGCTATGGAGTCAGAATGTGAAACACAAAAAAGATCTGGAACAATTCTATCATTTTCTTATGTGCATATTAAAACAAGAAGGAAAACCCCTCATATTCATCCTGTGCGTTTTTCCTACAGACTGTCCCATGAAGTAAATGTAGATAAATGTACTAAAGTAAAAACATAATATATTGAATTACTATAAAGTTATTTTTGTTATGAACTTCAAAATCCTTTTTCTATAACCCTCTCAATCCTTGAGAAGGAGGGAGAAAAAAAGGAACAGAAAAATGTTTCCTTTGTAGAGTACCAAAAGGAAAAAATATATATTATTTAAAAATTTTTATGCATATTTATTGTCACTTTAATTTAACTAAAAAACAGAAACAAAATTTGCTAGAAAAGGTT